CTATAGCGCCCAGCGCTGAAGACTACAGCTATGGCTATGGGCGCCCAGCGCCGAAGACTACTACTAGCGCTAATACTACTGCCTAGCGTTGAAGACTACTGCAGCGCTGCGGCCGAATCCTGAAGACTACTCGTGCCTCTGACAACTACCTAGTACCCGTGAAGTGCATGAGACTATCCTATGTACTACTCGGGTGTGCCTCCTGACTGCAGGCTAGCAGTCCAGGAGGCTGCTGTTGCCATGCCAAAGGGAGGCTGGGGCTGCAGCTGCAGCTCCTGCTCGAGCTGGCATGGGGAACAGGCTATTTCTGGCCTGTTCCCGAAACCCTGTTTCCGTGCCTGAGTCTTAGGTAGGTCGAACACAATGAGGGCCTGAAAATGACCCTCCGTTTCAGGCTGAAAAAACTCTGGGCCTAGGCTGAAACGGAATAGGGCCTGCAGGCCCTCGTATTTCAGCTTTCAGGCTAAAACGACCAGGGCCTGTAAGCCCTAAGTTTTAGGCTTTTAGGCTGAAAGTGCGGGACGGGCCCTGCAGGGCGCGTGTGGCTACGCAGTATGCCACATATGGCTTCCGCCACCGTCATCCTATCTGCGTGCTGGTTGCATCTGTTCATCTCTTTGTCTGTACACCGCTTCTCGTTCTGTATATGAGGGTAGTGGACTCATTCTGTGGAGGGAGGGCAAATTGTCTGGTCTATGCAGCCAGGTCTTCCAAGGCTTGGTACTGTTGTCTCTGCTCTTGTTTTTGTTTCTGTGGAGCAGTGTGGTCATTGCTGTGCTGGTCATGTTTCAGTTGTTGTGCTTGCTGTGTCTAAGGGGCAATGGTCTGGCCATTCTGCCAGTTTGATGCAGAATGCTGTTCAGGTTCCAACCCGGTGTCTACCGGTTGTATCGCCTGTACTGCCTGTAAAGTCTGTACCGGCTGTTGTGACTGTTTTTTCTCTATGTTCCTGTTCTGCTGGTCAAGCCGTAGTACAGGCTGTGCTGGCTGTGCAGGCTGTTTTGTCACTATGTGTCTGTTTTGCTGGTGTAGTTGGTTGTGGGTCCTCTGTTGCATCGCCCCCTGGTTCTGGACCTCGCGTGTGCGATCTGGTCGTTGTTGCTGTGAACGCTGCGAATGCTGGACCGACAGGATCTGCTGTGACGAGTTTTGGTTGTCCTGCAACCTGAGTGCGGGGCCCCTCTGATTGTTTGATGGTTGGCAGACCTCCTGTTGTGGGTGTTGCTGATCTGTCTTGTGCTGTGGCTGGTCCCCATTGCGGGATTGCTGCGTCGCTGCAGTCGGGGGAGGACCCGATCTGTTGCCCTAATGAGCAGGACTCTGCTTTTGCTGCACCCCTGTATTCTTAGTCTGCCGTTTGCCTATATTCAGAGGCTGGGACGAGGAGGAGGGGCCCCGCTGGCCCGATTGGCCCGGGTCTGATCTAGCTCCCTTGTTGGTCTGTCCCCCTCTCGTCTGACCTTTGGTTGTTGTTGCATTAGCCGGGGAGGGAGATGGCCTCCCTCCCCTTCCCACCTCCATTCTCCCGGGATGTTGAGGGCTCGTCTTTAAAAAACCCAGCCTTCGTAGGCCCGGTCTTCCGGGACCCATCTACCTGGGCTGTCTGGGTGCGGTCTCACGAGTCCTTGGGTGCGGTTGTCTCAATAGTTAGGGCACTGCAGGTCTGTGCACAGATGCCCTCTTGTCTTACACGCGTAACACCAGGGGTCCTGGGGGTGGCTGAGCTGGACTGCAAAATTACGGCCTGCTTGTGAAAAGGACCACTGTCCACTGACCGGGAATCCTTTGTTGGGGTCCCAGTCTACTGCCACCAGGAGTGTGTCATCTCTCTTGGGGACAACTTGAGGCAGATGATTTATGTATCCAAGGATCGGGTCAATCTGTTGCAGGTCGGCCAGGATCGCTCCTTGTACACATAATGGGGCAAACCTGCATTCCACCCAGAAGTAATTATTCATGAGCTTCTCTCTTCTTTGATCGGGCGTGATGGGGTTCTGTGGTTCCCATTGGCAGATCTCCGCCGGCATTCCCCGGAACTCCATCCCCCTCATTTTTAACAGGTTGTCCCTATCAATCGGGTAGATGGTATTAATGTTACGACTCGAGCATCCACTGTCTCAATCAGGAAGTGGTCCTGCACTGCCTGAAAGTTCGTCTTGATTGTTTTCAGTCTCTCAGCCGCTCATTAATCCATCTGAGTTGATGGGTGCATTCGTGGCTTCGTTTGGGAACAAGACCTGGACTGCGTTCTTGGCATAGATAAGATCTCTGTTGGTGAGAGCCTGGGGGGGGAACACTGCGTGCGGGTATATGAAGCCGTTTTTCTCAATGTACTTTTTGATGGGGCGAATGTGAAGTTTCTGTATGAAGTGGGCCTTCATCAAACCAATCGGGTCCAGAGCCAGCGGGTCACCTTGTGCACTTTTCGCTGCTGCTGCCAGCGCAGTCATCAGAGCTTGGGAATCTCTGGGGATTTGGGGTTTTGCAGTGTTCGATTGCTGCTGTTTTTTGGGTCATGTCGCCGGGGAGACCGGGTTGAATCGGGCGTCCTGGCACTTGTGGGCCTCTCGGGGTAGCGATGGACGGTGTCATCACTTTGGACACCCAGGTCTCTGCGGGTCGTTGGCCAGGTAGGGTTTCTTTTTGGGGTACTACTGACCCAGTGTGGGTGGAAGCAGACCCGTGGAGTCCCTGCCCCTGCTCTGAAGTCCCGCCCCACCCCTCTAACCCATCTTGCCTATCTTGCAAAATCTCCTGGAGCGTTAATGGCGGGCCAGATCCAATTTGTGCGGCAGCCTATTTCCCGTCTGGGCCGACATGTGCAGCCGTCTGTTTCCCGCCATTGCTTGATCCTTGTTCCACCATAGCAGCTGCTTGGGGAATGTGTCTTCCCTGCCGGGTCATTTTGTATTTGTCTTGTTGCACTGTGTTTCTATGTATCCCCCTTGGCCGCGGCCGCGGGGTCAGGCTCGGAGGGCGGCCATGAACATGGCCGCATCTGCGGCTGGGGTCGGCTGCATAGCGGCCACGTTTTTCACGGATTTTTCCCGTAAAAACTAACAGGCAAAAAAAAACAAAAAAAGGGGTTGTAGCCTGTAGGGTTTTTCAAACCCTAGAACCCCATATATTTTTTTAAGGAAACAATGAAGGTTTTAGAATTATAAAAAATAAAAAAACA